GCTGTTAAGGTGATATACACGAAACTGACTTATCCTTGTTTCTCATTTCTAAAAATTTTTCTTTAACAAAATTCTCTTTCCCTCTCCTACTTCACCACTCTGTCTATACGGTGTGTATAGGCGGGTCGGAGAGGGGTTTTTACATTTTTTATCTCAAAGTAATTTTATCTACCCTAGGCTTTTTAGCTTGGGGCTTTCGCCCAAACACCTGCTGTGTAGTATTTTTATACTACATGTTTTGTAAGTTTTGATGAATCACATTTCTAGTAGTTGGTAACGAGTTATTAACTGATGGGAATGGGAATAAGTTGGGACTGATAACATGTGTAACATTTACTAACGGGTCGGACCTTTTTTCTATTCCTTTTATGTCATTCGCAGATATGATGTCATATCCTGTTTACCACCTCACCAACTTATTCGATTACTTTCCCATCTGGTATTCTATCTCTATTTCCTTTGATAGCTTGTGCCTTGTTATATTTTTATTACCCACCCTCCCATATTTCCCTTGGTTTCTTTCCTTTTTCTTTCTTTATTTTTCTATTCTATTTTCTTACTATGATATTTTTTCAGTTGAGTATGTTTGTTATTGTATTGAGGTTTTTTCTTTCTTTAGTTTCTTTAAAAGTATTTTTTATGTGTAAAGTTTCCTTTTTCCTTAAATTCTTAGAAGTATCTTTTATGTGTGCGTTGGTTATTGGTTATGTGTGTTGTCCGCTAGCCTCCCCGTAGGGGTTTTTACATTTTTTATCTCAAAGTAATTTTATCTACCCTAGGCTTTTTAGCTTGGGGCTTTCGCCCAAACACCTGCTGTGTAGTATTTTTATGCTACATGTTTTGTAAGTTTTGATGAATCACATTTCATAGAAAAAGTGTCATAAATTGTAGGATATGAAACTATTGCCCTTGTTCTGTAAATGTGCATGAATCTTGTGAATCTTTAAAAGTTTATTCTTTGAAATGATTTTAACACATGGTTCATCATAGTTCTTTGATTTAAAGTGTTTCAGACAAATATAGTTGAAGATCTCTGAGTTTAAATTTTATGTAATTGTGCAAATAAAAACCCTCAACTCTTACAAACCCCAATCCTGACTGATATATTGATATAATATCAAACCATGATACTCACTCAAATATTTAGTCTATGGATTTCATTCCAGTTCTCTCTATCATGGGCCTTGGAAGATCATGAAAATCCAGAATTGGCAAAAAGAGTCTACACAGGGAATTTTATTGATCATGGAATTTCAACAGAGACTTACGGACAAGATGGCCTCTGGAGGATTGATAACCAATACCCAATGTATGCAGATCTTGCAGAGCTTCCAGATGAAGATTTATTCATTGATCATTCATCTCAGGGAAGTGGAATGAACTTAAACATGAACTGGGCCAGTCCTGGTGGGGCTTTATTTCTCTCCAGAACCTCAGAAGAAGCTTCAGGAGTAGGTCATCTCAAAGATCCATATCTGATTGCAGGAAGGAAACTACACAATCCACAAGAGATGACATTTGGTATTCAGGAAAAAAATGGCCCAACATTTGAAGAAGGACCCTGTCTCAAGTCAAAAGCATTGCAACAAGTAAATTACCTCAACATAAATCCACTCCCTGGGAATCGAGAGTATGGAAGTCAATACAACAGCCCACTTTCTGAGACCATAGGCTCTGAAGACTATGAAGGTAGAAATAAAAACATGAGATTAACTTTGAGCAATGTGGAAGGCCAACAAGAAAATCCAATTGCAATAGATACAAATCTTGATTTCTCCAAGAGGACCAGATATTCTTCACCAGAAGACACCAGTAACACTCACAACATGTCAGGGGGTGAAGATTTACCTACAGAGACCAAAAGAAAAGAAAAATTCTTTGAGATGAGGGAACAGGTTCGCAAGGATTCTTTACTAAATATACCCAATGATCATGAAAGAGCTACAGAATTTCAATCAATTTTTGGGAGTGATCTGGGGAGAAAAGTAATTAAAGAATATCCAAGGGATTTCTCTCAGATGTTTCTGTTTTGGCATGAGGTTGACTTTACAGTCAGATACTTATCACAGAAATATCTTGGACTAGATCCTACAAGTTGGGACAGTGTATCTACCTGGACTTTGGAGCATGGTGTTTTCCCACTCTACATTCATCAAACCTCTCATCTGCACCGTTTGTTTGAAGGAAGGTGCAGGGAATACCCATTCCACAACATTTCTCAAGCTTTTAAATCTGCAATAAACCACTTCAAACAATGGATACAGAAAGATCTTGACAAATTGGCACTAGGATTGGCAAACTATAGGCCAATATATGACAGCAAACAAAGCCATGTGGTACTAGCAGATATATTTTCCACAATCAAAGGCAATTCTATAACAACCCTAGAAGTTACCTCAACTTATAAGAAGTGGTCTCCAATTTCTTGGAAAATTACCCTGGATTGGATATCAAAGGTTCATCCAACTAGTCCCTCAATTCTAAACGTGCGAGAAATGAGATCCTCTTATTTCAACAATATAAAACAGCAATATAGTTTGACAGACCGTCCATATAAGTGGGAGGAATTCAAGGAAGTGGTGTGCTTTTTGATTTTGTTTCTACTACAGCATTTTTCTTGAACTAATGGCAGATTTCTGTGTTATGTCTTAGTTCAAGTTTCCAAAACCCAGGAAACTTCCATTTGTTTGGAAAAAAGACCTTCTAAGGAGTAATGAAAGCTCGATCGGAACATCATTGAATAGATAAAATCTTTGCATTAATACTAAAAAAGATGAAGTTTCATTGAAAACAGGCTCTCCTCCAACTATATGATAACCATGTAGTTACCATGTTTTGATGTTTTTCACTCTTTATCTCATTGATACTCAAACCACTCTACTGTCAGCAGCAGTTGAAGTGCAGTTGTGCAGCCACTGGGGTATCTGCTATTCATATCAAAAGACTTATTTTAGCCTGTGAACTAAACACTAAAGGTTTAAACTCCCATAATAGAACTGGCACTGCACATCTCAGAATAAAGCTAGCCTTCTTGCCTCTCATCAAGTTTTCATTACCATCTTTATTGTTTTCCTGTGACTTGGACTGCTCAATCTGTCTGTTTTCTATGTCTGGTCTTTTTGCTGAATTTATGTATTCAGCATTTTTTGCATATCTTTGGCTGATCCCATCTTACATAGCACTTTTCCATGTGGTGACCTGCATGGCAAGAATATGCATAGTGGTTCCACCATTATACTGAGAGACAAACAGGTAAGCTGTGACAATCAGGGACTGGCTACAGTGACAGCACAGACTCTGCAATGCAACCAGAACGGGTCAGGGGCTGTTGTATTGTGCAGTAATTCTGGTGTTGATCCCTTTATAAGTGATCCTCATTTAGGGAGATGCCTGATTCTATTGCATAAACTATTGAGGTGATGTAAAATCTTGTGTTCCTATGAAGTGATTAGAGCATCTAAACAAAGCTCAAGGTATGAAAGACAAACTCTAAACACAACATTATCTAATGTGTTTGAGCTGTCTCCAAATGATGCCTTCCTCAAGCTCAGAAGTCTCACAAACCTCCTGTGATGTCAGATCATAAAGACCTTCCAGCGGAAGCTTGAGGGAGTATATGTTGGGTGCCAAGAACCAGTCTTTTAGACACAAGACATCATACTGATCAAACGGAACTGGAAGTATTTTCTCTTACTTCAGTTGAAGTAAAATCAGCTGTGATATTTCATATGCATGTAGACTCTTGTTCCCCCTTTCCCTGGTGCTGAGTGATTTCTTTTCAGGAAGTTGCACAATGAATAGGCTGTTGTGCTGACCTGTTCTCCTATATGGATTTCATGTGTAGCCATAAGATCAAAGTAGAAAACTCATAGGACGCCAGGGACATCATCTTCAAAACAATGAGCATACGAAGAATAATCCACCACAGTTAACTCATACCTGAATGAGTCTGTTGAGCTTCATTATCATAGTGTTTCCATTAGGTGCTAGGTGAGTGGAAGGGTTCTACAGCCAATAATTTCACAAGTATACTTGTTGGATGCTTTATTTGAATGGACAAGAGGCAATACCGCAAGAGCTGCGCACTATATTGCAGTTGCAGTGTGGTTGCGTAGTGCTTTTAGGCGCCGCAATGGCACCACCATATATAGTGGTACCAGCGCTCTGCAACCTGGGATCAAGAACCCCGGGTCTTGCAAAAACTGCACTGCAATTAGGAAAATTGCATGGAATTTTCCCAATATTCATTCATAAAGTCTATGTATACACGAACTCTTTGAACACAAAAACGTACAATGGCCATATCAAACTAAAATTGAAGCGCTGGAATTTGTAAGAGATTATTCAAAAAACCCTACAAGTTTTTTTCTCAAGGTGAAAGGGAGTATAATTATGAAACCAGAAAACCAAAAGATGTTAGGAAGACTTAAAATCATCCAAAGGATGTGATCAAGTCATTTTCAAGATTTAGAGGTTTCTAGTAGAGTAGATAATTGGTCGAAAATCTCTTGGGAAATGACCATCAGTTGGATGCCTGAGGTTCATTCAATTATGCTTCCAGTGATTGAGTTGACCAAAAAAAGCGTACAAGATATATATTCCTATCATCAAATTTCAACAGGTCATTCAATTTCATCTTGTTGGGGGGACTTCAAAGAATCAGTTAGTGGTCTTTTGTTTTTTAACTCTTGCATTTCCCCAACAAATACCTGATTCATTGATCATGCATCTTAGCTTTTTAGTTTCAATTTCCTAAATCAAGGAAAACCCCCATGAATCTTTTATACGTAGCCTCAGATTATAGAATCTGAATGTAACCCAAATTGATTTTCCTTATCTCTGCATGTCATGTTTATCTTCTCCCTATTGAGCTCAAGTGTGCCCATTCAAGGTGACAAAGCTATATTTCAAACAAAAGTTCATTAAAGGATAAAATACTCATGATTTTTCTGACTCTCGATTCTAATTTTCATCTTAATTTCTCTCTCCTTATTAAACAAAAATGAAAATCAATTTTTTCCTACTCTTTACTTATAACAACAAGGTATATTCTCCAACATTTGTAAAAACCCATATAGAAAAGAACCATGAGTCTGAGATACAAGATAGAGAGAGAAACAGAGATAGAGAGAAAATGATAATAAATAATGATTCAATAAAAAAAAGAGTCAAACAAGAAACAAGAAAGAAATTATAATTCATATTCAACATATTCAATTCAACCATCCATCAATTTTTTTTCCATAGATCTCAAGAAAACTTCATAACTTCATAAATTCATACACCATTTGATTTTGGTTTGCATTAACCATTCAAGATATCTAAATCGAAATCGAAATTATTTTTTTCATCATCTATGATCAGGATTAGCCACAAACAAAATCGGTTTCTTAACTAAACCATGTAAAACCTTTTGATTTTTTCCATTTCCTACTTGAATTCCAAGACCTGAAACCGAACTTGAACTAGTAGAACTCAAAGGCTTTTCTTTTCCATTTTCAAATTGTTTGACAATAGCTTTAACCCCAAGTGTACCTGCTGTAAGTTTTTTATTCACAATCGGTAATGGTAAAGGTTGATCACCAAGTAATTCTCTAGGTCCAAATAAAGCATGAGATTCTAGAACTGGACTATTATCTACTGATGTGATTCTTTGTACTACGGTCATTTCAGCTTCAGCGGTTTGAATCATTGAACTGGTTGCAGTACGATTCGATGATTTACTTTGATGTTTTGATGTCTGACTTTCAACTTCATTGGAATTGATATTTGTTCTACCGTGTTCATCTACCGCCACTACATTCGCCTCCGGTTCAGGCGATGGGATTAATGGTGGTGGTGCTGGATCTCTGATAGGTTCAATAGATCGATCTACAACTTGTGAATGTTTTTCTTTAAATCGATCCCACCATGTCGCTCTTCTATCTAGTGGTTTAGGTGCAGGTAGGGGTAAAGGTTGTTGGGGAATAGGTGTGACAGGACCAGTAGTTTGTGATGGATCAAGAGAATCAGGATATGTTGAAGCAAAAGTAAGAGCTGTGTGTTCGCTAAGTGATTCTTCTTCTTCTTCTGGCTCTTCTTCCCCTGCTCCTCCTTCTGGGTCACTAAATGGGTTTGGATGCCAGTTCGATTGAGATGAAGAAGCGTTGGAGTATTGTCGTTGTAGATAGTGTTGATCTTCAAATGGATCTTCGAATCTAGCCACGTCTGGCATTGTCGAACTTCTTCCATCATCGCTCCACGGTGCAAGGGATGCACCAAGAAAACTAGTGGAAGTCCCAAATCCAATTTGAGATGATGCTGAACAGTCATCCAACCCTCGCCATATTCTTAATCCACCTCGAGTCTGAAAATGTTAAAATTAAACAGGTCAGCTTCCTGAAAACACAAGTAAATATCGAAAAGACTCACCGTTATCAATGGTGCAGCAGTTGGTTTTTCTGTCATGGGCGTAGGTCTAGGAAGTCTAACCCGATCAGCAAACCCATCCAAATACTTCTTCTTCCTTACATTCTGTTCTTCACCACTCAATTGACGATGATGAGGGTCATATAATGTAGCCGGTGTCGAATCCCAGATATCACTCTCTTCATCTGCCAACATATCAAACCTTTCTCTTCGTTTACGTTGAGCCCAAAAGCCTCCTATGCCTGCTAAAGCTTTCAATCCGGTTTTACCTCCTACTGCTGCTACTCCTATGTGAGGAGCATGTAAAGATTCATTCTTGAAGACTAATCCTACTTCGTCACCATCATGATCATCTTCGTTGTTATAAGGTAGATCTGGACCATGAGCCCTTCTTCGATATTCTTCGGCTTCAATTCTACGAGCTTGTTGTTGTCGCTTTTGATAACGATGAAGGTATATTGATCCACCAAGGAGCGTTGCCGCACCAACAAGGGCTGCAGCGACACCGATGATAGCAGTCATCATTGAAGGTCTAGTAGTCTTGTTGGGAGTAGGTATCGGGATAGGTTTGACGGGATCGAGTGAGCCAGGGACTTGCCAACTAGGCGAATCGGTTTTCTGAGAACCCACACTTCCTCCGGCTCCCGCACCAGCCCCGGGGGATGACGCCGTGGTTTGAGCCGAAGGTGCCGACTGAGCAGATGCGATACTTTGACTCGGAACATATGTTGAAGTCCACTTGCCGGTATCGAGGTCAAAGATCGACGCTCCAGCAGGCGCAGGTAGACTACCATCAACCGGGCCATAGCCAAAGGTGACGATAATCCGTTGACCGACACGCGCCATAGAGTGACCCCATCGCGCTGATGGTGCCCCTGTTGCCCCGGTGTTGGACAATTGGGACCAGCTGAGTTGAGTAAGATCAAGTATCCAAAGATCCGAATACACATCGGAAGCACTGGCAGAAGCGCCACCAAAAAGCATGAGCTGCGTAGCTGAGAGTCCAACAACTGAAAGACCTCGGCGAGGTGATGGAATAGATGTGCCAGTTAGTTGTATGGTATCCCAAACTCCAGAGCAGGAGGACGAAGTGAGGTCGGGAGTAAAGCGATATAAGTTTTTCATGTCAACTAGCTTGCCATCTCCACCCATGCCACCTATCACATAAAGTCGAACAACGTTGGTCGAGTCTATAAGAGTGACAGCTGAATGATCAAAGATTGCTTGTGGTGCTGGTGGACATGCTGACCAAGTACCGGATTGAGGCGAAGAGTGAGAAGCCGAGTATTGCCATAACTCGTCGAAGACTGCTTGACTTCCGTCAGCGCGTTGACCTCCGAGTGTCCATATTCTCAGTGAGTCAGGAGCACTTGCGGAGTTTGTAGAATGGCGAATACGTCGGATGGGTTGTTGAGCCCAGCCAGAGGTTTGTGGAGTGATGAGGACAAGATTAGATTGGTTGGAGGGAGACGAAGGTAGAGAGATGATCGAAGCGCTATCCGAGCCAGTGAGATTGGATGACGAAGAAGCGGATCCCCCAAAGGAAAGGATTGTAGTTTGATCTAGAAGTGGAGCAAGAGAGGAATATGATGTTGGAGGTGAAGCTGATGAATTGCTTGGTATCTGAGAACCAGAGAGGTATTGCCAAGGGGGTGAGTTGGCTGAAAAAGCTGAATCGAGCGTAAGATAGAGTAGATCGTTCGTGTCTGTTCAAGTTTGATAACGCGTCGATCATCAGCCTATATCCTTCGCGTGATGAAAGCAAGTTTAGAAAACGAGGAGCATTGTATGAAGACTGACCAGGTGCGCTTGAGTAGGTGTAGCCACCATTTCCTGAAACTTTTCCACCATAGACTAAGAGAGAATTGTCAGGTAGAAGGAGAGATGCCTGTGCCCATCTGTAGGAGAGAAGAAGCGAAGGTTAAAAATTAGTTTCATGATATAATGAAATTGAAAAAGATGACCAACCGGGGTTGAGATGCATATTGAGATAAATCAAGTTGAGCTAAGACAGCAGTGAATGCAGAGATCAAAGCGAATAAAGATTGAGGATGTGGTCTAAGTCTTGAATGAGACGATCTTGATTCCATTTATCGGAGAAAAGGAGATTGAGTGATAAGTTGAGATAGGAGTTAGCAGAATGTGAGATGAGAAGATGATGGTATGAAGTCTGTTGAAGTCTGTTGAAGGCCGGTGGTATAACGAAGAGATTGAGGGTGAGTTGGGTTGGCTGAGTTGTAGAATATCAGGAGATGGCAAGTGTTCTATCTGGTTGGTTGTGATTCTAATTTGCAATTTCTCAAGTTCTCAACTGAAGTGGTATTGCTGTATTGGGATGTTTGTTGATTTTTCTATCGATCAAAACAAACGCGTCCACGCGATTCTTCTTCACACGTGACTCATACACTATGTACAACACATGCTAATTTAATTCAAACTGGTTTTGAAGGGCTCCTTTTCTCTTCCAAGTTCCTCATTAGCTGACTTGTAACCTCTTGCAACCTCACAGTTTATAATAAGATTGTGCATCACATAACAAGAGGAATCAATGGCTTAAATATCAAATGTCAAAGTTGTTATAGGCAATTTTATCATGACTTCTACAAGATTTTACCAGTCTAAGCTTATTCTTGTGCAAATTCATGGAGAGTCAAATTAGATTCACATTTCAAAGAGGAATTTAATCATTTTACAAGGAGTCTAACAAACAGAGATAAGTAGTTGACAAATCTTCATTCAGAGTCCAGGCTACGTAACAATGGGTCACCAAGGTGGGCGCAACGCATACATCATGACATGTTGTGACTCTGAGTAAGAGATCTGATAAAGAAAAGGTGACACGAGAAACATCATTTGCAGACGTATAATGATTGTTGAACAAAAGACAAGTTATATCATCAAGGCCACAGCAACGGTGGCTCGCTAAGCTAAGCTAAGGTTATTCCCACACTTGGCTTAGCTTAGCAATGCCCCGCTAAGGAATGGCGCGCTAACGCTAAATCTTAGCGCATTACCGCTAAAGCTAAGACAATAGCTTAGCGGTAAAAATTTGATGCTGCTAAGCTTTGTCAATAGCTTAGCGCGGTTTTTTCAGCTAAACCGCTAATTAGCGGCTTAGCGCGACTTTTAGGCACAAAACAAATAAATCTTATTTTTTATTCAAGACAATCAAAAATACAAGAAATGTTCATTTTAGAATAACCTTTGCAGCATGCTTAGCTAGCGTACTGGCTACCATTACCCATTCACCCACCAGTTCAACCTTTTCACGGAGCCACAACAGGCTACCCACATTCCTCTCAATGGTTTGTGGGGCCAATCGACCTCGATTCGCTGAGCAAACATCAGCAGCGGCTGAAAAAGATCTCTCAACCGCTGCAGATGAAGCGGGGATTGCAAGGTAATCGCGTGCCATTGACGCAAGGACCGGATAGATATGTTCGTGATCCTACAAACAATGGCATTGCTGATTAGCAATGTGTTGTTTCAGGCGCATGTAGATACAAAGGAAAATCAATACTAACTTTCCACCATTTCAATATGCAATCAGGATCGATTGTGCCATCTTTGAGCACTGGTAATAGGGGATGATCGCCTTTCAAGTACCTCTTAAGCTCATCCTTGCGCTCAGCCTGAGCATCGTGGGTGAAGAGTTGATAAACAGATGAAACTGCGCTGGTCAAGCTTGATGAGGTAGGTTGCGTGTTGTGCAACGATCGCTGAGAGTTGAGGTCCGAGTGCTCAGTTTTGTGGACATTGAATGTGCTTGTAAATGCTGTGAGACTCTCAACAGACTTGGAATCTTGGGGGCCAAAGGTTTTTTCGAAGAATCGGTGGCGAAATAGTGGGTTCAAGATGGTCGCAAATACAAGACTCTCACACTTGAGAGCTTCATTCCAGTACTTTTCCATCCAGATGACCATCTCTGCAAACATAGGATACAACGGGTCATCTTGTTCTAAAGCAGCCTGTCGTTTTTTGAGAGATTCCAACAAGATTGAATACTCTGGTAGGACAATTGATCCACTCGGGCTGTTCTCCTCGAACCGTTTAGTCAACAAAAGAAATGGCTGTATTGATACAGGCAAAGTCAGTATCAATCAGCTGATGGAAGTTAAATTGATACATACTAATAGTTCTTCATTGAGAGCATTGAGATCCTCCCAGTCGCGACCATTGAAAGTTATACCTTGAAAGTATGCCGCTTTCTTCACATCGGTACCTCGCCGACGGTTTGTCGAGTGGAATTTGGCCAGGTCTTCGCTAAGAATCTGATCAATAACCTAAAGTGAAAATGAATACACCATTAGCAGAAATCACAAGTATACAAGATGATTAGATAGATACATAGACTTACCTCACGTGCCTCATAAGCTCGTGATTGGCGGTCATAGTCAGCGTTCCACCGGATACCATAACCTGCAGATAAAGGCCGTACAGAGAGGCCTTTGGCCTTCATTCGACGTTCGAAAACTCGCCTCCAAGAAGCACTTCGGGTCAAGCGGCGACACACTGTGAGACAGTTCTTGTACAGAGTTGCCATCGTGTTGGATGATGAAGACCGACTTTCAGGTGGGTCCATAAGAGACTTGCGAATGCGTCGAGTTTCGTCATCTTCGTCTGGATCATCAACATCGGAGACCTCTTCTGAGTCGCTATGATGATCTTCCTCAGGAAGCTCATCAGGTTGGTGATCCGGTTCTTCATCTTCATCATCAAGGTCAATTGCCACACTATCATCATTTTCATCTTCTTCCTCTTCTATAACGGGCATGATATCGACTACAGGGAATCGTCCAAGTACTACCTCCTTGTTCGCAGGCCCAGCGCGTGCATTGATTCCTAAGGCAGCAAGTCCATGCTTGACAACAAGACCGAGCTTGTGACAAGCACAGAAATGGTGCATACGCTTTGGGTCCCATGTGTACGAGTTTGTCCATTTGGCCATTGGTTTAACTGATTTGATAGTTTCAGTATCGGAAAGCATTTGTGATTGTGAGTTGTTGATATCGGTAGTTGATGTTACTTCGGAGCCGACTTGTTCAGATAGAGCCTGAAGTTGCTTGTGCATCTCTCTGGACATGGTGTTATTATTCATACCTGAGTCAGTAACTTGAGCGAGCATGTAATACAATAATAAGATTTGATGTTAGTTGAAACTTAAAATACAATTGATTGAATTTGAAAAAATAATCTACTTATCTTAAGATACAGATTATCTTTCTTCAGAATAGTGACTATCGGTTCAGCCAACCATTGGCCATGGTGATGCCAAGCGACCGTCTTCAAACTCAGATGCCTGACTTTGTATTGCCAACTCGAATTGATGAAACTAACGGAAACACCACTGAAGGCGTGTGCGTTACCCTTCGTGGTCCACACATCTTGAACAAGCGTGAACTGACTGTCAAGATTCTGTTCATTTCAAAAAAAAAAGTTAAATCAGATCACTTGATCGGAAAGAAGAATCATAAAAGAAGAAACACTTCACCTGAAGTTCAGTGTGGATTGATTCTCGAAGCGAAACATATAATTGTTTCGCTTCGTTAGCCATCCACTTCCGCTTATAAATACGTACTCCTGGTCGTGCATAGTCCAATGCAGCACGTAAGGCTGGATCCTCAATCCATTTCCAGGGTAGAGCTTGCTGGACCAGCCACAGACAAAGCATTCGATTCATTGTATTAACCTCGTACTGCGATTTTGATTGTTCGATGCCAAAGGAAGTCAGTGTAGTTTGAGATTTATCCTTTTTGAGTTTCTTCAATGCAGCAACTGTTGGTGGGAGACTTGCGCCAGCTTTGATTGCCCAATTTCGGTGAGGACACGCAACTGATCCTGATTCGGTTTGTGGATTACCATCCCGATGAACCTTGAGATTGGCTCGAGGGTTGCTTGTACTGACTCGGATACCAGTCTTTCCGCACCAGAGACACGTGTGGTTGAGAGGTTTTTTCGACTTGTCCTATTACATAGAAGTGATTGTTAGCTGGAAAGAAAAAACAATACACCTGAACAAAACTCACCTCGTCCTTCTTATGAGTCGCTTCAGAGAAATAAAGCAGCACATCATCATACCCATCTTCGTCCTTGTCCTTAATCTTACTAGCTCGAGCTGATGCCTTGATTCTTTCGATTTCGCTGTCAGAATTCTGTTGGAGAGCGGCACGATCCATGTCTTCGTTCTACATTGACATAGAACCAGGTAAGTGTATTGAACAAACTCAGTGTAAGGTTAAAGGTTTGTGAGTTTCTCACCTCCGTTCCAATTTGACGATTAGCTGCAGGTGTCTTCCGATTCTTTTTTTTCTTTTGTTTCTTCTTATTCTGAGTAGCAGTCGAATCCTGATTTGTATCGTGAGTCTCGGTCTCTGAATCACTTATAATCGTTTTCTTTCGCTTATTTGTAATGATGTTTGAAGTTCCGACAGATCTGCGTGAATCGGAAGAGGGTTGAATCATACCCGGTGGTCTTGATCTGGGTGTGATGATACGGCTTGTTCGACGGATGGGATTCGGAAGATTGGAGTCTTCATCTTCATTTGGATTGGGCTGAGTGGTTGGTTGGGCTTGAGAGCCAATAGGCACCAGCGGCTACTCCTCCCTTATGTTATAAGACAGACATGTGGACAGTCTCACGAGCCTGAATGAGTCACCCTTTCCTAGCCATCCACATCCACGCGCGTCCACCGCCAGTATTCCCTACATAACTCGTAAACTTCACATACACACACACTTACACATGTTAAGTCCCTGACTTTACTATGTACATACAGCAAGTAATGTATATACCGGTCCAATGTACATATACCGGACCTCTCTCGGTCCCCACTCTCCAGCCGATCATCCATATGGTGATCAACACCTTCAACATCAACCACTTTACCGCCATCGATCTCACATGCAATCAATATCAAGGTTTCGGCAAGTTTAACTTCACAAGCATTTCTGAAGCTGGCCCCACCAAATTCATCGAAGTGCTCCGAAGCCCAATGATGTCGATTGAGTTTGTTTGGCTTTGACTTGTACGGTTGGTAAGTCTTGTCCTCATCCATCCCTTATATTTCCATCTCTTCACTTAAATTTTCTTTATCATCCGTCTTTTCGATAAATTTTCGATTGAATAACGTATACTCATCCTCCTTCCCATTTTCTTTCCGTACTTATCTCTAGAATATTTGATTGAATAACGTATACTCATCCTCCTTCATATTTTCTTTATCTTTAGTCTTTTCGATTGAATCTGAACGTACTTATCTCTAGTTTTCCTTTCTTCTTTTACCTTCCATATCGAACTTGTCCGTCTCACTTTATCATGCCACCCAAAAGGTTTGCCCGTTTCCTTTCGTCCTCTTCAGTTTCACGACCCCAACGCCGTCAACGAGTCGGAGAAACCCCAGAACAGTTCCGAAAAGCTGCTGAGGACGTCAAACAGCAGCTCAATCAATTTCTCCCACCACGAGCTCCTGATCCGCCGCCACCGCCACCACCCGAATGGGCTGACATCGTTGGTAACAATGAGCATGAATGGATCGATGACCATCAAGAGGAGCCTCTGGTTGAAGGAGACCACCAGAGACCCAACCGACAAAGACGCTATCGAACGTATTTTGACAAACGTCAAGATTACTTCAAAGTATGGGGCCAACTCGAAAATCAATTTGCAGCTACATACCTATATTGTCAACATACGACCAAAAATTGGACATCTGCTACTCTGAACACGTATCTTGGAATTCGGCCACCTGGATGTAGTTGTACATCTCAAGATCTGTGTGATGTTGATTTAATTGATTTAATTGGTAAGTTATTTTAACAGTGTATGTAAGATCTTAGAGGTCGTAGGCTAACTCATATGTACAGGCTTTCACAGCAATCTATCCATGAGGTTCTGTTCCTGCCAGCCAGACGCGATTCAACTGCTTCACCAAGGATATATCGCCAGCTCTCCATCGACACCTCGCACTGCTTTCTCAATTCGACTGATCGAACATTATCATTCATTATGGCTAGCAGGAGGTCTCAGTAAGGGTGCATTTATCGAAGGCCTCCTGATCTCTGTCTCAGCTCGAAATCGCAACCGGTTGTCTGTTCGAGGTCTCCAAGAAAAAACCCGTGCTCTCAGGGTACCCTTTTCCAACGCCTTCGATGTTTACATCCAGATCATTTTACTTCAGTCATCTCTTTTTTCTCAAGGCATGTTACATACGAAAGAAGACATGTGGGCGGCTCAGTGTCCGCGATGCTTTGGCCCAGCAGAAAATGAAGACCGCACCGATCAAGAATTCTACAGTATTTTTTGCATGGATGGGAATTTCCAGCAGCGTCACAATACTCAGGCGAGTAAAGACGACCCGACCAATGATCAATATCCGTCTATTTTTGTCAAACCATCGGAGGTTCAAGAAAACGACGTGATCATGCAATCGACGGCCAACATCCCAGTTGAAGGAGCACAAGTGAGTAACGAGTTCTTATAAGTCATCTCACATTCAGGACTAATTTTCCTGCATTTGTCTCCAGTGTTCAGACTCTCATAAAGCAGCCAACGACTTTCGAAATACATCCACTTGGGCTCACTGCGATGATACCGGTCTTTTTGCAGCCTCCTGTCGACACGATGTTCCACTGCGACTTGTTAACATATACAAGACTGGGGAAAAGTGAGTTTTGTCCCGCTTCAAAGTTGAAGGTATCTAATGTACTGAAATTTCCTTTGCTCCTTATCCAGACTCTACTACCCAGTTACTTTGATCAAGTCTATAATCAAGGACTTTCCTGGAAAGCGATTTGGTGTACTTTATGACATCGGATGTCATCTGGAGAGGCACATGCAATGTGTAAGTCTACCCACTATTTCATGATGTGATTGAAGCTGATCAATTGATTCAATACTGGTGTGACCAGCGAGACCTCCTTCCAGAAGATCATGAGCGATTACAGTTTGCAACCTCAGTTTTCCATGCGTACGTGCACGAGTGGAAATGCCAAATTCGATACAATCCTCGATACAACAATGAATGGGGCTTATCTGATGGCGAAGGACTCGAACGCCTATGGTCATTCTTGTTGGTGTTGGTTGGAGTTTTGCGCACTTCAACACGACTCCATCGCCTGGTAGCCATCTTCAATCGCATCATGCATTTCATCGAAGTCATCCTACATAACAGTGGTAAGTCATCGATTCATAGTAAGGTAGCATGGATTTGTGGCTAACTTGTGGATTTATGGTGTAATTTAGGAAGATGGCTTTCAGCACGGATGAAACAGGCAATTTCATCTGCGCAGAAAAGTCAAACGCTTTTGACAAATCTCTATACGATTCCTAACCCTCACAAACCCGGACAAAAGTATACCGAGGAATATTTTCTAGAACAGTGGGCTGCCGAAAGGAAAGCAGTGCTTGACCCTAAGGCTCAGCAAGAAGCGCAAAAACTAGAACTTGGTAAGCTTCTATGTGACGAAGAGGAAATGGACTTAGCTTGGTGAGTCGCATCTCTATCACATTATATTATAATATGTCACTAATCTAACCTTTTTTTTACTATGCCAGGAAAACCGTGGTGAGAACACCTGAGCAAGCCATTGCTCGTGCGCGATTGCTTGGAGACCTTCAAAAACAAATCGAGAATCAGAAGAAGAAGATTGGTACAAACAGAATCACTGATGGCTTACAACGTGAGTTTTTAATATCGTGGTTTTCGATTTGCTGATATACTAATTTAAGTTTATCATCAGAACAACACATGAACCTGTTCTTGAAAGTTTGGTATGCAAAAACCGCAGTTCGACGTCTCTACCTCTCTATCAAGGAAGAGAAACGTCCCTTGGAGGTCGTACAACAGGTCGGAATGGCTACCAAATTAGGTAAACAATTTCCACTGTAGGGTTGGTTTGGTCTGTCATGTACTGACTCAAATCGTTCAGGTACGCACGGCGAACAAAAGGTTCTAGCTGCAATTAGGGCTCGCGCTGCCAAGTTGAGACCAGCCCTTGACATATACAATCGACATCTCGCCGCTTTCAAGGCCGCGTTTCCTGATCGGGTTGCCCCCAAGGCCATGGATTATAAGGAACTGTTGGCCTCAAACCCCGAGGATCAGTTCTGGAACGATGGTCTGTTCAATTACGAAGATGAGCCTTGGGCATTCGATACCCCTACTCAAGCTGGCATGCGGGCATTGGCTCGCTTGCGCCGATGTAATGAAGAAAAACGAAGGTTGCGATGGGAGACTCGCCGCCTCATGCGTTGGACAACTCAACAATTTCAACAACTTCAAGATCTTCTATTGCGCTTAGGAAACCACATCAATGCCGGACAAGACCTCGCCACCGATGCCCGACTCAAATCTTTTATGGAAAGCCCTGCCTTGACCAAACTAGCACCGAACAAGCGAAGAATCACGGTAACAGTACTGGTCAGCAAGCAATTTCACCGTCTATGTCAACTGTATCATTCATGGAACACACCTGTTCTCGAGGTCTTTCAAATGGGTTTCCAGGCAGGTGATGACGCCCTTGCTCGTGCGTGGCATTACCAGATGGCCCAAGTAACATATCTTCAAACTAACGACCATAGCTCCATGATCCCAGGTGACTTTGAGGGAGTGATCGATGGAATAATAGCATTTTGTAATATCACTTCAGACGTTCCAGGCGTTCCTAATGTGGCCGGAGGTTTGGCAGATAAGCCAAATGAAAATGACGAGGATGATTGGGAACTTGACATTGAGGATTTTTTTGAAAGAGATTTGCACTTAGAAGAAATTGACATTGCGCTGAATGAAATTGCACTGGGTGAAGATGATGTTTGAATACATAGTTTTTGAATACATAGTTATTGACCAGGTTGTAATCAAATTGTTTCCACAATTTCAATAAGTTTTCAACCAATGAGATTTGGAAGGAACAAAAGATTCCTCTTGTACAGTTTTTGCTCTGATATCCTCTTGTTGGCCTGTTATTTATTGTACTTTTACTATGGAGTTGCAAAGAAATGGGCAGCCAAGAGTTTCCAAACAGATGTGCCAATATCAGGAAAGAAATAAAGATGAAAAAATATTGAGAACTTGGTGAAGAATCAACTCTGAGGACTTGTACAAAAACTCGAAACCAAAGTTGACAAAAAGACCAGATATTGAAAACAAATTGGTGAAGCATCAAAGGTGCTACCAATTCTTTTTTTTTACAATCAAATATAAACTGAGTGTATCCTGTGTGAATGTAGTTATTACCACATGGCATTATGATAGTGTGTAGACTAATTTAGAGCTGAGCGGGAGGAGAGATGTGATTTTTGAGGCCAAGATTGGCAATTTTGAAAAGGAAGGAGTGGGCTGATAGAAAAAGTGTCTTAATAGACTAACCTTGAAATTTAATTTTGTATTTTGAGGCGGAGATTTGGCCATATTTCCAACATCTTCAAGGTGTTTGGGGAAGTTTGAGAGCTGAGCGGGAGGGGAAATGGGATTTTTGAGGTCAAGATTGGCAATTTTGAAAAGGAAGGAGTGGGCTGATAGAAAAAGTGTCTTAATAGACTGACCTTGAAATTTAATTTTGTATTTTGAGGCGGAGATTTGGCCATATTTCCAACATCTTCAAGGTGTTTGGGGAAGTTTTAGAGCTGAGCGGGAAGAGATATGTGATTTTTGAGGCCAAGATTGGCAATTTTGAAAAGGAAGGAGTGGGCTGATAGAAAAAGTGTCTTATTAGACTAACCTTGAAATTTAATTTTGTATTTTAAGGCGGAGATTTGGCCATAATTCCAACATCTTCAGTGTCTTTGGGGTGATTTTATGTGCAGGATGATGCCTGAAATACATGATGCAGCGTGTGCAAAGGTTTGTGCACACTTGAAATTTCAAGTTATCAGACCATATTTTCCCTTAAAATCACCCCAAACACCTTGAAGATGTTGGAAATATGGCCAAATCTCCGCCTTAACATACAAAATTAAATTTCAAGGTTAGTCTATTAAGACACTTTTTTTATAAACCCACTCCTTCCTTTTCAAAATTGCCAATCTTGGCCTCAAAAATCACATCTCTCCTCCCGCTCAGCTCTAAAACTTCCCCAAACACCTTGAAGATGTTGGAATTATGGCCAAATCTCCGCCTTAAAATACAAAATTAAATTTCAAGGTCAGTCTATTAAGACACTTTTTCTATCAGCCCACTCCTTCCTTTTCAAAATTGCCAATCTTGGCCTCAAAAATCACATCTCTCCTCCCGCTCAGCTCTAAAACTTCCCCAAAAACCTTGAAGATGTTGGAATTATGGCCAAATCTCCGCCTCAAAATACAAAATTAAATTTAAAGGTCAGTCTATTAAGACACTTTTTCTATCAGCCCACTCCTTCCTTTTCAAAATTGCCAATCTTGGCCTCAAAAATCACATTTCCCCTCCCGCTCAGCTCTAAATTGGTCTACACACTATCATAATGCCATGTGGTAATAACTACATTCAGTGAACACATTCTAAATCAAATTTAATTCTGAGTTTCTGTGTTGAGAATCTTCATATTACCACTCATTATAAGTTCATTCATATCTTTTTATCTTTTCACACCTCAACTCAATGACTTCAATCTCACGGACTTTGTTCCTTTTTAGTGGGGTCAGGATGCTTTGGCTATGCTGATAAGAAAAAGAATCACACAGAATACACTCAGTCTTTATTTGATTGTACAAAAAAAGGATTGGTAGCACCTTTGATGCTTCACCAATTTGTTTTCAATATCTGGTCTTTTTGTCAACTTTGGTTTCGAGTTTTTGTACAAGTCCTCAAAATATACCCCCTACATATCACATGATATTCACACATGTGAACCTCTTATTTCGTGGATTATCTTGCTGAGCTCTTCCAACATCCTTCAGCTCGCCAACAAACGAAACCACCTCGACATCTTTCCCATCTGGACATACCCAACTTACTACATCCTCTATTTCTATCGATTTCCGTTTTATCAAATTACACGGCCATCTCCTTTCGTAAGTCCTAATTTTTCTCCTCCGTCTCCCCCTATAGATCGATCACCTCTGCTAACATACACCCAACATCATTCTACTCAAAGATGTCACAGATGATTGTCGATTGGAAGTCAACGGCTTTCTTAACTTCAATGCCGAAAATGGTGCGAGAAGCATGTGATCGTCTCAAGGAAGATGGCTCAAACTACCCCGACTGGGAGTTTCGCATTGTCCGCCTAATCGAGACCACCACGGGAAATGTAGGCTACTTTGATGAAGATGATCAGGTTCGATCCGACCCACGAGGTGACCTCATTATTCGTGCCATGATTGAGCACTCCGCCAAAACAAAACTCGCCAGAGAAATTGCCCAGTGTAACTCAGCTCAATCCGCTATGGCAACCATCAGATCTTTATTTTTCTTTCCAAGCCGACATCTGAAGTTATGGACTGAACTCTTTCAAATCAAGCATTTCGAGAAAGGAGATATTGACAAGTACCTACATGAGATCAAAAAGAAGATTGACGAGCTGGATGAAGCACGATTCCCTTGGACGAAGGACAGTTTCCTGGGAATTGCCTATCAACTAGGTGTTCAATCATCATCTCCTGATGTTGGTATCACTTTGGACGCCCGCCTACGTGCCCAACCGAACAAAGCTATTTGTGCGAAAGAAGTGGAAGACAATATCCGACTCCAAGCAAAGCATAAACTCATTTTACCTGAGATTGGCTCTCTCCGACTAGATCAACCCACCATGTCCACCTCAACTCCACCGCGTCCTGGGACAACTGCATCTACTTTCCATACGACTCCACCCTCCGTGTCCAAGTCTCATTACCTATACAACAACTACCCTTGTTGGATATGTGGGATGCGTGGTCATTGGTCACCAACCTGCTCCAATCGCGATCCATTTGGATGTTACTATTGTGGAGAGGTTGGCCATTATGTGCCCGAATGCCCATCTAAGCTGTCCGGTCGTCCCCCCCCAGGTACTCAACGTCAAGACTGACATGTAGTCGACGTAGAGACTCAAGAGTCAACCTTGAGATTGTACGTATCTAGACTGTCAAATCTCTTGTAATTCAACATGTTCAATGAAATATGTTTATGTAGAATTTTTTTGGATTACAACAAGTTATTATTTATCAGATGAAATCAAGATATCATGTTTGCAGCGATAGCACGAAACCTATGTAATAGGATTTGTAAAAACTTCCGTCTGTTATCTGTTATTTTGCTTGTTGGTTACATTCAAATGTTTTTCCTACATAACATCTGAATGCAACTTTGTGAGATTCAACCACGGTTGATTCAAGAAATCGATCATGTTGATTAAATTGGATTACAACCCTTTCCATTCACGTCTATTGATTTTAAAAAGCACATTGGACTCAAGGTTTTCTGTTTTGAATATCAATGAATGATGATCATCATAACTCGAGGATTAAATTATCGAGAAATAAAAAACTCATTGATTAAAACCTCATTTGCATTCTGCATGAACTATTTCTTTTCCAAAACCGATACTTAATTCATATTCAATTGGAAGTTGCACACATGTGTAAGTAACCTATCTTAACGTATATATTCTGGTTCAACTACAAGACTCGACACTTATATTGATGTATTCATGTATATACAAGCGAGTGGTAAAAATCACAAAATCAAATAACTCAGATTGAAAGAGACCAAGAATGATTTGTATCGCATCTGCCTGAAGACAATTTAAAAGAGCCGAAGACATATAAAAGAAAACAATAACCTTTGATATACATCTAATGGTAGAGTGAGTATATCATCCCTTTCTCTTAATCATCTCTTTCTCATATTTGACTTTCAACAGTCACTTCTTGGGAACTGGAAATAGGAAGCAAGGTAATGCCACCGTGGTCAAGTTCGTAGTCAATCAAACAGCTGTCCGGTCCACTGAGTTCAGCACATGGTCTCTTGAGACAGTTAATATCGAGCTTGCTGTCTGATCTTAAAGTAAGACGGAGACCAAATGTGGCAAGGACGGCATCGGTGTTTTTCCACGGCCACTTACTCAATGCTGTGTTTGTGTGTTCGACTAAAAAATTGAGGATCCTTCCATTACTTCAGAACCCAAACACCGTTTTGGATCAAGACTGCACTTACACACGAGGCGTCCGAGGCCGGCAGCCACCTGTTTCCTAACAGCTTTAGAGTTGTTACCTGTTACAGATGTTGTTAGGAAGATACATTAAAATTAGAATGACATTTCTGAACTTACCACATTGTCTCTTTGCTTCGATTGCCTCAGTGGTATTGCCAGTGACATATCCTTGAATTTGAGCAGCAAATTCGTCAAGGCCAGCCGTTTCAGTTATGAGTTCAACACCACGATGAGCACCAGGTGTAACAACCCGATGCTGAAAGCTGTGCGTAGCCAAATGATTCGAGACGGCGAAGAAGACAAACTCGCAGTTGCACGACGCGGCAATGGGGGTGGCCTGTAGATGATTTCATCATAAACCGTCAGCTATAGGTACAACAGCATGCTGGTCTGAGACACATTACCTGAGCGAGGATGTCAGTCATGAACGATTGAACCTGTTTTTCCGCTTTCTGTAAGGAGGTGGGATTGCTCTTGACGATGGTGCGGGGTTGTACGATTTGTTGAGCTCGCTTGTTGCTGATAATCTTCTCACCAAAGTCGAGCTCGACATCGGGTATCGGGGCTTTGAACGCAGCCCTCTCCTGGGGTGACATACTTTTCCACAAAACGGAAAGCTCGCCCATGGTGATACCGTTGGAAAGACCTCCATCTATGAGAAGGGGATGGTCACGATAAATAATGTGACAAACGGTGGAGTGAGATGATCAGGTACATACGTATTTTAAACAACGCCTTGGCGTTTGGTGTCTGTAAATATCGGTTCCATGCCGTTGCCATTCGAACTGCTATACGTCTGCCCCTACAAGCAAAGTACACTTATTGATGAGATACTAGTATACATTCTGCAGGGATGAAATGAACTTACCACGTCGCTTCGATGGCAGAGACAGATACTCCAATCTCGATTGCCATCATGGCAAGTGCGTGTTGTTGAGTTTCATGAAATTCAATCAATTTTTCCATTTGGTCCTTGTTGATACCACGACTAGCGTTCTTCTCAGCAAGACATCGAAGTTTGTTCGAGGACATAGTCAACATGTGATCTTTAGATATGGGTGGATCGGATGTGACTTGTGAAGTCATGTTTGCAGTTCTCGAGGATGCTAGGTTGTTACTCATGAAGTCATTCATTAGAGAGCGATCAGTTTGGTTGGACAATTCGATAGCATTGGTGTTGACAGTGGGTTGAGTGAGTTGAGTCGTGATGGGATCGGTTTGGGTTTGGGTAAGAGTAGGAAACAGTGAGGCGGCCCGCTCAAGGGCGGCAATCGAGATCATCTTGAACATGATGAGAACGGAAATGATTATAGTTGATAGCGAAGACAAAGAAAGAGGATGAAGACGGATGGTAGAAGTGAAGATGTGATGCACAAGAGGGAGGAAAAAGTATCAGTAATGATTATATCGAAAAGAGTCAAGAAGGCAAAGAAAATATGAGATAGACATACCACGTGATTTATCGGATCAATGGAGAAAGGGCTTGTAGAGTAAACTTTGTGTCTTGCTTGACAAGGATATCGGTTGGTGCGGTTGATATATCTGCGGTGATATCTGTGGTGTTTGTTTGTTGGATGTTATCGAATGGTTGTGATCTGAGCGGGGTGAGTTTGAACGTGATTGACTTTGAGTACGGGGATATGACCACCTGGATATGACACATTACATTGTGTACATAGTAAAGTTAAGGACTTAACATGTGTAAGTGTGTGTGTGTATGTGAAGTTTACGAGTTATGTAGGGAATACTGGCGGTGGACGCGCGTGGATGTGGATGGCTAGGAAAGGGTGACTCAGTCAGGCTCGTGAGACTGTCCACATGTCTGTCTTATAACATAAGGGAGGAGTAGCCGCTGGTGCAATAGGGGTGACGTTGCGGCTGGATCGACGAGTGGTGGGATTCGAGACATCTGCGTGATGATCGGAGTCATCCATGTTTGGTGGTGAATAAGGAAAATAAAATAAAATAATCTCAAGATATGATTACGAGACCGGACACTGGACAAGTCCGAGGCTCGGTATCAAACATGTCCGGATATGTATAGATATCCTACTGGTCCGTAGGAAAGTCGCTAAGGGCGCTAATTAGCGCCCTGGACCTCGCTTTAGCTCATAGCTTAGCGGTACAGCGGTGCGCTAAGCTAAATAGCTTAGCTGTGTCCCGCTAAGGAATATTTGAAAATGTCTTACTTTAGCTGAGGTCCGCTAAGAAATTTGCGCTAACTTAGCGGCCAAATAACGCTAAGCTAGCGCTAAGCTAAGCGCTAAGTTAGCTTAGCCGAGCCACCGTTGGCCACAGTGATTTGTAGAGCGCCATTTGTTCTCTTTCTGAATAGATTTTCGCAACATGACAAGGTGATATAAATTTGGAGGACTCCAATTTTCAGTTAATCCTTCAATCCGGTTCTTGCTGCTGTCGTTGCGGTAAAACGGCGCCATTCGTACCGTACATAGATACTTTCATCAAGGCTTCCCTTGCACTGGAAACACCGAGCCGGAGAAAGACGCCTTGACATAAAAACTTTACGTTACAGCGATTGACCATGAAGACACGAACCCAACTGCGGTCCCCACTTCTCGCAAGGCCTCGCGTGAGGATGAAGCCGCAGCAGTTATATGTACAAAGATTCGATCATCTTCCCACTCAATGCGTTGTCCCACAGCAGAAGCGTACCATCACACTTTGCCAGGAGGGCAAAAAGAATATGAGAAAAGTGTTTGAACATGATTTGGATTTCGTTGGGAAGTCCATGATCTACTGTTAATGTAGAGAAAAGTCAAGTAAAGGAAAACAATCGACAATTGACAATTCAAAAAAACGAAGAACTACATCTGTAGAAGAATGAAATGAAGGAGAGTTAACAGTTGGATCTTTAGAATAGTGAAAGATGTAGGAAAATCAAATCGAAATTGAGTGAGTAGATATATATATAAGAAGAGAAAATAGATGATGATAAGATGCACTAGATGGCAAAGAGACCACCATGAGGGTCTTCGAAACATGAAGATAACAAGGATCTAGCTATTTTTGACTAAATGTGACGTTGAAGATCATAAATAATTTAAATAGGAGTAGTACAGTATGGTTGCAATGTTTTCAGTTGAATAAGTTAGAGTGCGCTACTTATCGTGCTGATGAATCTATTCTGCATCTTCATCAATAGATCGATTGCGATGACGAGTCCGAGATTTAGCAGATTTGGAAATCACATAACCACTCGATTTCATTTGAGCAATAACTGCTGCAGCGATTTGATTGATTTGTTGACTTGTGAGACCTGAAGAAAGGCAAAGAAAATATGATGATAGAGTTAGATCCAGATGAGGTTGTAGTTAAAGGAAGAGCTTACCAGTACTGCCCTTGCCTGATCCAGAAGCGAGTGAAAGAGAATTGCTAGAAGCAAGCTTGGCGGCGAAACAACCTCCAAATCGCTTATTCACACCTGGAAATCAAATAATTGAGCTTACCTCTGTGATCTATGGTGTAATGATTTAGGAGAGAGTTTTTAATACTGACCTGTACGACATCTAACGATACAAGCAGTCTGTGTCCAACCGCCTGTGCATTTTGCTCCGCTGTTGGGATAGTAAGAAAGATACGGATGAGCTTGGTATACAAGAAGATACAATTGATTCGAAGTTTATTCACCTGGGAAAGGTCATCACCACAGTCGAGTTAACACGAACATGAGGTAATATTCCAGAATTTCCAGCTTGGTTGAGAGTCATGGTCATTGGTTTGAATGACTTGGTGGTAGCATCCTTTGAAAATGAGTAATTTCGAATAGCACCAAGTCAATTTGTTTTTTAATTGTGAATAGGAAATGTAAAGAAAAATTACTTCGTTGTATTCACAGGACATTGGTCCACCACCATCACGATTGACTTGAAAGGCTGTGACCACAAGTGATCCATTAGAATAAGCCGCTGGTAGACCGGAGCCCTCAGCTATAAAAATTCGTGTCAGCGTGATTTCAAGGCGATGATTTCCGGAAAATTTTACTTACCTTGACTTAACCATGAAGTGACATCAACCTGACCCAATTCTGGTGTAGAACCACATGCTGGGTTGGGATGATCGGTACCAGTTTGAAAAACACCAGAATCACCTCCAGCCTGAAAGAATTAATCATATTTTCATCAGCGACTGTAAACCATGAAGAAGTCGAACAAAATGAAAGGGGTGTTGTGTGATTAAAAGGGAAGTGAGTCTCACATCACCTGAACCACCCGGTCTTCTTGGATATTTTCCATCTGTGTGCTGAAAGAAACAACCAGTTAGTAAGAATGTGTTATAAAAGAAATTAAGTGTAACTGATTGCATTAAACTTACTACTCCGAATGCATGTCCAACTTTATTGTTTGAACCATGAATGGTAATAAGCGATAAATGAGCATTGACATAAGTAAGCAGTCCGAGGACTTGCAATAGATTGAAAAACGTGAACATTATTTTTGTGAATTGATGTTTCTGTCTCAAAATGAAAGAAGTAACGAAATGAATAAAAAGAAATGATAGTGAGATGTGATCAACTTCAAAAAGTTCTTTGTTGCTGAGAACAAAGGTAAAATGAAAAAGAGATATTCGGATAGAATTTGAAAGGAAAAGTTAGGATTGAACAAAGGTGTTGATGATCAATTGACAGGTTTATATATGAATGGGATAATGATATCAAGTGAATTCTAGGATATGATGATTTTTTTGGGCATTCAAGCTTCGTTGTCAATGATGAGTCACAAAGTGAATGCGTTAATGTTTATGAATGAGTTTATTTAATAAATCCAAATCCGTCAAGCCGAACCGCAGTTTAATGATAGTGGTATAAGTTGGTGATCTTGCTTATGATTTGTTTTGTTTTTTTGCTATAACTTCAGTGATTTAATCGAGGTCAAATCGAGGGAACTTCTTTTACAGAGGTTTTCATGGAATTCCACAATGAAAGCTCAAACCTTTGTAAGAGTAACACAACTTGACCGTGATGACATCGATTCTTGCTTCGACTCACAAATCACACGAACCAATCCAGTTTAGCCAAAGTAAAGCTCATTTGACGACGGATAGAGTCTAGAGATGAAGAACAAGTCAATTCAAAACATTCGATGACAGTGATGATTTGATTCGGATATGAGAAACCGTACCAGTCCAGTTTTTATCATCGCATTTTGAAAGAATTGGCATCAGTTCTATTCCATCACTATATGATGAATCTTCAAATGTCTACGAACCTTCAAAAGACAACCAATGCTAAGTTCTATCCGAGGCATTTCACACCATTTAAAGATATATCGCTGAACAGGAGCAGTATGTAGCAAACACGTTGGTTTGACCGTGAATGGCAGCTCAGCATCTTGATAATTCCAGTGACAAAGGTTGAGAGTAAAACAGATCGAAGTGTTTTGAAGGTCATGAGTCAATTGGGTTGTATGCTTGCTCTTCTGAAATCGGTTTTGACGATTTTCAATCAACTCATTTGTAATCACAATCACCTCATCACAGCTTACGATGACATCATCGACGTTTATCATTCTAGCCAAACATATTTTGTCACAATATTCAAATCAATCAATGCTCTCCACCACAATTTGACTCCTAAACTTTTCTTCCACACCTACGGAACTCATTTCTTGATTTAAGGAATATTAAAAAAATGAACAACCTGACCTTTCATCCATCCTCAGTAACAAAATCTGAACGAGAAGAACTCCTTGGTCAAACCGGCTTAACTATCTGGTTTACCGGTCTCAGTGGTAAATTCACCCTTCACTGGAAAAATTATAATGAATGGAAACCTGAATTGATCAAATACTTCTCACAGGATCAGGTAAATCAACCTTATCAACAAAACTAGAAGAAATTTTATTGAAATCAAATAAGAGGGCATTTGTATTAGATGGAGATAATATCAGAAAAGGATTAAATTCAGATTTGGGTTTTACTAATCAAGATCGAAAAGAAAATATTAGAAGGATTTCAGAAGTTAGTAAATTGTTCAATCAAAGTGGTATTATTGTTCTTGTTGCATTTATTTCACCTTTTATAGATGATAGAAGATTAGTTAGAGAGTTACATCAAATCAATGAGTTAAATTTTTTAGAAATCTATTTAGATTCTAGTCTGGAAGCTTTAGAAAATAGAGATACAAAAGGACTTTATAAAAAAGCTAGATCTGGTGAAATCAAAGGTTCTTTGCTTTCACTTTCATTTGCTTCTTTTCTTTTCCGAGCCATACAATTTCAACTGATACTTTGTTTTGTTTTGATCTTATGCTAAACATTCAAGACTTTACTGGAATCTCTTCACCATATGAGCCACCTGTTAATCCGGAAATTCATATCAAAACAGATTCACTTTCAACAGAAGATAGTTTAGAAATCATCATGGATTACTTAAAAACTCACAACTTCATTTGAGTTCTCCAAGACAAAGGCGGAGACTGAGAGGTAGAATTAAGAAGACATGTTTTTGTTGGTTAATGAGAAGCATAATTGATTCTGTCAGATGAGATTATTGAAATCTC